ACTAGCTTGGCACTTGAAAACCCTCAATCCCAAAACAGGTCGGTATAAAATGTCCCAAGGGCTTACCCAGTCAACCAAAGGGGGTGTCTTAACCCCGAGAAAAGGGAAAAATCAGATATCCCCAAGGGCCTAATGTTGGGGCCTGAAAAATTAGAATAGGTTTTGGGGGTTAGTAAAGTAAAATTACAAAGACAACATAAGGGAATATTGTTAGTAATTCTTCCGACCCCTATGGTACGTAAACGAAGGCGGTGGGACCCCGGACAATTGCCTCCAGGCTGCGGTGACACAGGTGTCGCATTGGCAGACACCATCGTCTTCAGCCACTGGCAGCCACGTCTGCCTGATAAGGGTTTCTGCTGCATGAGGTACCAAATCGAACCTAAACCCTAAACCCTGAACCCGAAACCCTAAACCCTTTTGATCCTAAACCCCAAACCCTTGCTTCTCCCAATAACATACCCAGCCAGGGTCCGGCACTCAACCTCTTAAGAATCAGCCTTTAGCATTACCTAGGGGGTTTAGGGTTTATGCAAAGTTTCCTTAGTGTTTCCGTTATAAACCAATAGGAACCCCAACAGATTGTCGAAAAAAGCCTTTAGATCAACCCCCGACATAGGGAGTTCTGATTCCACAAGCGCCCAATGGAAGCCCTAAACCCTAAACCCTAAACCCTAAACCCTAAACCCTAAACCCTAAACCCTAAACCCTAAACCCCAAACCCTACGTCCTTAGCCCTAAACTCTACCCGATGGAGAACAACTAGATGCTCAGGGTATGGGGTCCGGGCTTCTTGCCAAGGGACCTCTCCCTTCCCGCGCGCCTGTCAAGGTGTCAGGGTTTAGGGTTTAGGGTTTAGGGTTTAGGGTTTAGGGTTTAGGGTTTAGGGTTTAGGGTTTAGTGTTTAGGGTTTAGGGTTTAGGGACCCAAGAGTCGCCTAGAAGAACAAGGGTGCCCTTTTTGGTTCATAGCGGCTTGTAAGGGAAGGCCCGACTCTGGGTCCTACTAGCTCTAAGCCCGAAACCCCTAGAAAACAGTCATTCGAAAAGCCGGTGTTGTCTTTCTGGTTTAGGGTTTAGGGTTTAGGGTTTAGGGTTTAGGGTTTAGGGTTTAGGGTTTAGGGTTTAGGGTTTAGGGTTGCGGTCCATGCTCACTGAGGGTTTAGGGTTTAGGGTTCAGGGTTTTGGGTGGCTTACCAGCCGAACCACCCAGCAAACCCGCAAACCATGTTGGTTCCTGCCACTCAAAGAGGCTAAGTCGTTTGCGCGCTGCTGTGCGCTCTCCGCAATCGCAACACTCACCTACTTGAAGGTTCGTGGGTAGTTACAAGTAGGGTTAGGGTTATAAGCAAGGTAGGGTTATAAGCAAGGTAGGGTTAGGGTTATAAAAAAGGGGAAGGGTTATGTGATAAGCAAGGTACTTAAGTTTTGAACCTTAATTAAGGCGCTTATAACCCTACTTATAGCTACGCATGAACCTTCAAGTAGTCGCCCTAAACCCTTTTGCAACAGGACTCCAAACCACTGCCTAAACCCTAAACCCTAAACCCTAAACCCTAAACCCTAAACCCTGAACTCCTGCTTCGACTTAAAGCCAAGAACCTTGCGAGGTGCCGCTGGATGTCTGCGGTCGTCAGCCACACGCCCAAGCCAGTTCCAGGCCGGAAGTAGCCTTGGCAGCGTGTTGGGTTTAGGGTTTAGGGTTTAGGGTTTAGGGTTAAGGGTTTGGGGGTTAGGGTTTAGGGTTTAGGGCTTGGGGTTTAGGGTGTTTTGCTTGATTCCTAAACCCTAAACCGCAAGGGTACTACTGAACAACTGGGCGTCCGAGTATGTATTTTCTTGGGGGATGGGATAACCCCTGAACCTAGAATTGAAATTGTCCATAAGGCCGGGTAAGGGGTTAGGGTTTTTGGCTAGGGTTTAAGGTTTAAGTGTTTTTAAGTGTTTCGGGAGCCATATTAGGAAGCCCCCATTGTAATCTCAAACGGCATATTTGCTAAGAAGAGCGTTCTTGCGTAGAGTCTGCCCAGAGCCCTCAACCTCAAGACGCGTGGATGGGGCTTCCTACCCCTGCCAAGCCCTAGACCCTAAAACCGAAGCCCTACAAACCCTAAACCGAAACGCATGTCTTTTGTCGTGCGTGCCAGGACAGCTGCCACGGACAACCCGAAAGGGCTTTCGGCAATCCAGAAACCAAGAGCTCGCGCGCGCGATGCTGCTCGGCGCGCGTGTGTTGTCCCTCTTCAGCAGGTTTGACGGCTAGAACCTTACAGCCAGTGTATGGATTTGGTGTCAAATGGTAAACCACCAAGTCGATGCAATCGCTCCGCTTCCTCCTCCTTGTGCAACACTTCCCATCTTGGCCAGCTACCTTGGCCGGCCCACTTGCAAAGTGTGACGGTAAGGTCGGGAGTTGCGAATGTCCAGCTTGATTCGGATGGCCGAATTCGGTGCGCGAGCTGGGCGTCAAAGAGCACTTCCCTTCCGACAGCCACGAAAAGCCGATGCTCCTGAAATCGGACGGTGATGTCCTTTGCTTTCCACATAGGCCCCAGGACCCAATGTGCGTGAACTTCGGTCTTCTGATCCTCCAGATTGAAGTCCACGACCCCGGACTTCGTGGTCTCCACCTGCTGCTTCTTGCTGAGCACCTCCTCAGTCTGTGCATCTGCGCTTTGCGCGGGCTGTCCCTGATGTGCAGGCGCGTGAAGCGTCAACAGCGCCACGGCAACCCTCCCGTCATTGGGCCACTGCGCCCTCAAAGAATGGAGCACGGCGGTGGCCTCCTCTTCTTGGCCCAGGTCCTGGTGGCAGCAGGCCAACTCCTTGGTAGCCCAGCAACCATGTCACAACAGGGGTATACCCTTCTTTGGGGGTTAGCTGCGGTTGGCTATTTTACAAGGAAACCTTGTACAAAAAAAGGGAGAAAGGGTACCCACGCTGGGCTAGCAAGACTCCAAGTAAGCCTCCGGCAAGCTGGGACAAGTTGCCAAGGCTTTCCTTAGTTGTCCAGTATCCTAGGGGAACTAAAGGTTAACCTTTGCGGCTATACAGGGAATATCAGCCCGAAACCCTAAACCCTAAAGCCTAAACCCTTTTGCAACTGGACTGCGGACCCTAAACCCTAAACCCTAAACCCTAAACCCTAAACCCTAAACCCTACTCTACTACCAAGTTTCTGTGCTGTCGCGAGGGCATCCTTCAGTTGCCCCACCTCCCGGAGTGCCCCAGCGAGCTCTGAGAGTGCCCAGGACACCTGGGGTAGGTTTGGGGGGACCCTATAAAAGATGAATAGGGTTTAGGGTTTAGGGTTTAGGGTTTAGGGTTTAGGGTTTAGGGTTTAGGGTTTAGGGTTTAGGGTTTAGGGTTTAGGGTTTAGGGCGTTTTATGGCTTCATAAGGATTGCATAGGGAAGTAAGGCAAGAAAACTTAAAAATTAGGTTCACACCTACCCCAGACACCTTGTGCATGTCTCCACCTCTTCCCAACTGATTCACGCAGGTACGGAGGATCCGAGCAGCTTCCGCTGGGCCGCCATAGTTGCCCAGCCGCGCCTGATGGCCATACGCAAGGCCCTTCTCCATTCGAACAGTCCGGATGCTGCATGCGGATGGTGGTGTTTCGGCGCCGGCTGCAGGAAAAGAATGCCAGTCGTTCGAAGGCAGCTTGTGGGCTTGCAGCGTCTTGGTCCAAAACAGACCCACCTGCCTCCGGCCAACTACCCAGCCTTCACTTACATCGCCAGCCTTGGTCGCTTGCACTTCCAGGGATAGCTGAAAACCGAATTGGTTTTCAAAGATTGGGAATCCATTGAGCACTTTCCTGGAAGGCTGGTAGGTGCCACCAGTCTCTGCCATGCTGGACCCCGTCAAATCGATGCCCTCAATGGCATCCGGCACATCGCCGCGTGGGAGCTCCTAGTTCGTGGTGGGGATAATATTAAAAACTCAACGTTGTATTCCTTGTAGGGTTTAAGTACCCTTCAAAATAAAAAAATGGTACCCAACTATGACCAAGACTCAGGGGGCTCCGTTTCTGCAGGGACCATGATCGGCCATTTCCTCGGCAATGAATGATCGCAGGCTTCGCCGAGTTCTTCTAGGAGCTCCCGGCACTCTCGCTGCAGCGATTGTTCTTTGCCCGACCTCTTGCCACCCTCGATCTGCATCCAGCACTGCTTCGCAGATAAGGCTGCTGCGCCTTCATTGCCTGCGGCATTCAGCATCTGTGCCTTGAGGAGCAAGGCATCCGGCAAGCAGGGCTGCAGTTTCAGTGCCGCCTCCACCTCTGCAAGGGCTTGGTCTTCACGCCCCAAAACGCGCAGCAATGCAGCCAGCTCAGTGTGGAGTAAGCCTCGCTGAGGCCAGTTTGCCTGGAGCTCTTCTCCACCCTGCAAAGACTTGCGAAAGGCCGTGGCAGCTAGTCTCCGGTCCTCGGTGGTCCCAGAAGCTGCTCTACGACGAGCTTCTTGGGCGTAGCCGACTGCTGTGGCATCTGCATCTGGCAGCCATCGCAAAGTGGGCGCCGGTGGGTCGCCCTCGAAGGGATGCCATCCCTGCAAAGGTATAGCTTCCTTCCTGTCCGTGGGGCAGCCATAAGCCGGCACCCCAGATTGTCCAATAATCCATCCCCACTGCAAAGTACCGCTGTCAGCTGAAGGTCCCTGGCACACGGTCAAGCTGAAGTTGCTGAGTGAACCATATACTGGGCATCCCTCATACTCAACGTCTTCTTGCCTCAGGGGCTGAATACCCTAGCACCAAAAAAGGTTAACCCCTTTATCTGTATTAGGATTATATAAAGCCCAAAAAGGCTATAAAGGTTAACTGCCCCCTGAGTTGCAGTGCATAAACGCCATTCACGTCCTCACAGCCAGCACCATCCACGGCCAGATGCTGCTGCTGCTGCATCTGCGACGCCACGAAGCACGCCACCATGTGAGTGGGTTTAGGGTTTAGGGTTTAGGGTTTAGGGTTTAGGGTTTAGGGTTAGGGTTTAGGGTTTAGGGTTTAGGGTTTAGGGTTTAGGGTTTAGGGTTTAGGGTTTAGGGCTTAGGGCTTAGGGTTTAGAGTTTAGGGGAACTTGAAGGTTCATAAGTATTTAGAAGGTTCTAACAGTACCAGAACTAAGGCTATAGTACAGGTTACCTTACTTATAGCCCTACTTATGACTACCCATGAACCTTCAAGAATCCCTAACCCCTAAACCCTAAACCCCAAACCCTACTTATAACTACCCGTGAACCTTCAAGTAGATCGAAGGCGACCCGATGGATTGAGAGGGTTTGGGCTACAGGGTGTAGGAGTCGAGGGGTTTAGGGTTTAGGGTTTAGGGTTTAGGGTTTAGGGTTTAGGGTTTAAGCCTTTGGGTCTCCCCAACCACGAACTCCAATGTCAGCGAAAGCTAAGGCTAAGCAAACGCGCGGGACCCTTGGCAGCAGTTGCCTGACTCTGATGTACTTTACTTGAAGGTTCATGGGCAGCTGTAAGCGGACTTATACTCTCACCTTGATCAAGGGATCTACATCTTCACTTATAACTACCCCAGAACTTTCTCAAGTAATTCTAGATGCAGTCGTAAACCCAGCGCTTGTGGCTTAGGCTCTCACGGCTTGGCCCTAACACTATCAGCAGAGTCTGCTTTGCAATAAGTTCTTGTCATCCCCTATTGAAAGACTACGAGAACTAAACCCTTACGCCCAAAAGCGAAAATGGAACACCTTTTTGAACCAGAGCTCTATGAGGCAAATTTGACCCCAAACCCTCAACCCTGAACCCTAAACCCTGGACCCTAAGCCCCAAAACACAAAGCCAATTAAAAAAAAAAAAAAAATACTTAAAAAAAAAAAAAAAAAAAAACAATCCCAGACCCCTCGAGCCTTGCTCCCTAAGCCTAAGAGGCGCAGGGCTTCACTGCTATAAGGACTCTTCTCGTTCAGGGTTTAGGGTTTAGGGTGTAGGGTTTAGGGTTTAGGGTTTGGGGCTTAGGGGCTAAACCTGCTGGGGGCCAAGCAAACAGTCGTCTGGCTCTCCGGTACCTGGGCCAAGCAGCCCCACAGAGGCTTAAGTTGTTTCGTTAGAGTTTAGGGTTTAGGGTGTAGGGTTTTGGGCTTGAAGGATCATAGGGGTTTAAGGGTTTGAGGGCTTTAGGGTTTTTGGGGTTTTAGGGTCTAGGGCTTACCTGGACTCCTGAAGCCTAAACCGCGTTTGGGACGTTCCTCAATACTCTCTTCTGAAGGTCTCGAATTTGTACGAGGATCCTTTGTGAAGGCACTTCTTTCCCTCAATCGGGACGCTAAGTTCGGTAACCCCCCGCCCCCCTAGACCCGAAACCCTAAACCCAAAAACCCAAAACCCTAAACCTAAACCCTAAACCCTAAACCCTAAACCCGAAACCCGAAACCCTGAACCCTAACTGAAGCCCAAGGTGCTCGCACTTCGGGCGGCCGTGTCCACACTAACAGGACCAGCCGGAAGCCTTCCTAAGTTTAGGGTTTAGGGTGTAGGGTTTAGGGTTTAGGGCTTACTCAAGGTTTAGGGCTCAGGGTTTGCAGGGGTCAGGGTGTAGCAGGCTTTAAGAACACACCATGCGCTTCGAACAGGGGTAGCATCTGGTCAACATAAGCAGGAAAAAAAGCCAAAGCAACATGAGACTGCTGAACTGCCCAGCTTCCTTCACACCAGTCACGGCATGGATATTCCTGGAGATTTCCGACGCGAGGGGGGGGGGGAGGAGGGGCTTGGGCCATTGGGGTCTTTCTTCGACGAAGCCCAAATGACCCCCGACTTCCCAAACCGCGGCTTCGGGTTTAGGGTTTAGGGCTCAGGGTTTCGAGTTTTCAGGGCTTAGTGTTAGGGCCAAGCCCTAAACCCTAAACCCTAAACTCTACACCCCTTTGGGACGCTTGGGCGTGGCGCTGGGACGGATAGGCGCGGGGGCTAGGGTTTAGGGAGGGTTGCTTTAGGGCTTAGGGTTTAGGGTTCCGAGTTGTTGGCTTTGGGGTTTAGGGTTGAAGGTACGAAGTCAGGGAAAGTGGGTTTAGGGTTTAGGGTTGTCAAATTTTGTGTAAACTCTCAAGTGTCAAGGCCTCGGCCTCTCAACCTGCGACCGGCAGCCGACGCAGGCGTGAAGAAAAATGAGAGGGACACAGGCCTTTTCAAACACAAGTGCCTCATAGGAGGAATGAGCTACCACTGAAAATCTGAAAGCCGGCTGAACCCTGAACCTAAACCTAGGATCAAATCCTATTCTGCACGCTTTGGGCAGCTAGTCTTGATTCCCTCATTCTTTGGCCAGTCTCTGATGGCAGCCGCAGAAGGCAATGCCGTGGCCTCGCAGACGGGCTTCAGGGTTGGGGGACCCCCTAAAACCCTAAAGCCCTTAACCCGTAAATGCCTGAAGAGCTGAACCCCTCAACCGGCGGCATGTGGGAAGCCAGGCTTCATATACCTTGGGGACCGAATGAACCTTAAAGTTGGGACCCTTTACCCTATACAACCACAATCCCTACTAAGGTAACATGGAACCTGAGTTTAGGGTTCAGGGGCGCCATGAATCCTTTTAGGGTCCATTTGGACCTCATTGTGCGTAGGCTTTAGGGCTTAGCGTCGAGGGTTTAGGGCGCACCCCGATCATGAGAAACTCCCACAGAATGGGTTGAGGGCCCAGTCATCTAGGTGTCGATTTTCGCCGCTTATCCCTACATCAACCCTAAGCTGACCCCCCAAACCCCAAACCCTCTCTCCTAAATCCTAAACCCTAAACTCCAAACCCTAAACCCTAAACCCTAAGCCCTAAACCCTAAACTCCAAAACCCTAAGCTCCCCCCCCCCCCAAAAAAAAAAGAAAGAAAGAACAAAAACTTGACGCTCCCTTCGCAAGAAAGCCAATTGCATGGCCGCATGCCTTCCTGGCACTTGTACCGAGCTATCGGCTCCTTGTGGGCTTTTGTTGGGATTGAGGGTTCTAGGTTTAGGGTTTAGGGTTTAGGGCTAGGGTTTAGGGCTTAGGGTTTAGGGTGAGTTCAGGGTTTAGGGGCAGTGAGCTGAGGACCCTTAAGCAAGAGGAAGTTGCCCAGATGACATGTAGGGCGACCCTGTCGATTCCTCTGGCTAGGTTGGGATGTACTTTAAGGTTGGACCGACACTACTGTAAGGTTGAGGGTTTAGGGTTTAGGGTTTAGGGTTTAGGGTTTAGGGTTTAGAGTTGAGGGTTTAGGGTTTGGGGTTTACCCGTGAGAATACAAAGCGTACTTTGTTGTAGTTTACCTAAGAACCCTACAAGAGGCTCGATAATAACCTACAAAAAAGAAGGCTTGGGGTTCCTTAAGGTAGGGTATGTGGTTTAGGGTCTAGGGTTTGGGGTTTAGCGGGAGGGGGGGGGGGATTCCGGTTTGATTTCGGCATACTTGGGTCTTGTCTTGGAGATTGTGGATCCCTTTCTGGCTTGCTCTGATGCCTCTTTTGCTTTAAGGCTTAGGGCTTGTATAGGGTTTATAGGGATTCGGGTTTAGCGGTTTTAGGTTACCAAACATGAGACCCAAAATTACACAAAAACCGAAACCCCCATGTAACTAACTCCGGGTTTGGGTTATGCCCTGAACCCGAGAGCCGAACCCTGAACTGGAGAACCTTGAGTGCTCAGAGCAAGAAGACTTCGGAAACTGCACAAGCTGACGTCGTGTGCTGGGCCTGGAAAGTTAAAGGCTGTGTCGGACATCGTCGGGGTTTCGGGCTTCGGGTTGCGGGGGTTTAGCGTTTGGGGGTTTCGGTTTTTTTTTTTTTTTTTGGTTTTTTTTTTTTTTTTTTTGGGGGGGGGTTGGGTTGGGGTTTTGAGGGTTTTAGGCTCACCGCAAGTCACTTGTGCACACGCTCCTTGATGCCGAAGCCACTGAAGAATTGTACAACACCTGTGCGAATCGAGCTTGGGAACTGCAGAGCGGTACTGGAGTGCCCTAAACCCTAAACCCTAAACCCTAAACCCTAAACCCTAAACCCTAAACCCTAACCCTAAACCCTAAACCCTAAACACTAAGTGTGCCGGCCTCCTTCATAGCCATCTGGGTCACAGAGAGACACAGAGCAGCTATAACTTCTGTACGACGTTTTCCTTAGAAAGCAGGTGGAAGATCGTGGCTTGTCAGTCGAGGCCGCTCAGGACCTCCTAAGTCTTTACTGCGCACACAGCCGCCACTTGCCAGCTTTCTACAAGAACTCAAGCTTCCTCCCAATGTCAGCAGTCTACATCATTCTTCCACAGAAAAGAGGTCCTTGACCCTGAGGCCCTACACCCCTCAATCTAAGGTTGGAACCACGGGCTCTCGGCATGGTTCCTTACCCTTGTTTAAATTACGGGGAGTTAAAGGGATCCGAAGTATGGGCCCTTATTATGTAGTGTATGTGAAGGTTATATAACAGGCCTCCCACGGGTAAGGGGCTTCAGGGTTTTGAGGGCTTTGGGTCTCGGGTTTCGGGTCGGCAAAGTCGAAGGTTGAGGGTTTTGGGGTTTGGGGGTTAGGGGATTAGAGTGGCGTGTAAGGCTTAGGGTTCAGGCATTTAGGGCGGTGTTTTGGGCTTAGGGTTTAGAGTTGTAGGGCTTATGGGAAGGGTTGCTCGACGATAGGACTGTAGACTTGGACTGTAGACTTGCTCTCATTGCAGCTTGAACCTAAAGGCCCTAAAGCCCAAACCCCAAACCCTAAGCAGCTTGAGCCGGAAAGCCCTAACCACCAGACTCTCGAGTCTCTAAAACCAGAGCCCCATCCCAGACTCCTGAAGCCCTAAACCCTCAGACCTAAACCTTAAACCCTAAACCGTCATTCGGCACCGAGAGTTGCCAAGCCACTCGTTTCGCCAGAGGATATAGGCGCCTTCCCGTGCAGCTTGCACTTCATCCTGACATACTCAAGGGGTTTAGGAGATTTTTTGCTAATCAAGCAGGCCAGCCACACTGCAGGGTTTGGGGTTTAGGGCTTAGGGTTTAGGGGTTTGGGTTTAGGGCGTAGGATGGAGCTAGGTGGGGATGCGTGGGGGTTGGGGAGGTTGAATAGAGCCTCGAAAGGGGTGGCAAGGGTTCAAGGTTCCCGCTGGGCCCCAAACCCTAAACCCTAAACCCTGAACTCAAACACAGAAACTCTAAACCCGAAATCCTAAGCCCTAAGCCCTAAACCCTAAAACCCGAAACCTCAGTTTGAAGCTGACAAAGCCAGGAAAACCAACCGAAACTGGCATCCAAGACCCTAACATCTTGAACTGTGTAGGGTTTAGGGTTTAGGGCTAGGGTTTAGGGTTTAGGGTTTAGGGTTTAGGGTTTAGGGTTTAGGGTTTAGGGTTCAGCAGTGCTGATTATAACTGTACTTCTAACCCACTTAGAAAATGGTTCTAAGTACTCGCGTGGCAAAAGCCCAAGCTGATTCACCTCTGGGTCCAAGAGCGCCCACTGCGAGGCCATGAAGTACCCCCTAAACCCTAAACCCTAAACCCTAAACCCTAAACCCTAAACCCTCAATCCTAACCCCACGCGCTTGCCAGCGTCACCTGGCTCGAGACCCACCTGCTCTGCGGCTGGCGCAGATCAGAAAGTTAATCCCGGATTCCCAGGTTGTAGGGTTTAGGGTGTGGGGTTTAGGGTTTAGGGTGTGGGGTTTAGGGTTTAGGGTTTAGGGTTTAGGGTTTAGGGCTTAGGGTTTAGGGTTTAGGGTTTAGGGTTTAGGGTTTAGGGTTTAATTAGGGTTTAGGGTTTAGGGTTTAGGGTTTAGGGTGCCCGAGGCGAGCTTACGGCTTTGGGGTTTTGGGGTTTAGGGCTCTAAGCAGACCAGAGGCCCGTGCCTGCTTGGGCACCTTCTTGCCCTTCCACCTGAGCCGTCTGGCAAACAACCCTAAACCCTAAACCCTAAACCCTAAACCCTAAACCTAAACCCTAAACCCTAAACCCTAAACCCTTAGCCTAAACCCTACACCCCAAACACTTTAGGGCCAACCTGGGCGCTGTTACCCATCTGGTGCGCCTGTCTGGGAACCTGCTGGAAAGGAAACAGAATCCTGTTTCTCATGCGTTCTGACCGACAAATTCGTCCAACCCATATCAATGCCACGCAAGCCCAACAGCCCAACAGCCAAACAAGATGCTTCGAAAAACGACAGCGTACTTTCTAGGCACAGGCTAGAGGTTATAGGGCTTGTGTCAAGGGAGTCATACTCGGACCCCAAAGTATACCCTTTATAGGCACAAGCCAGAGGTTATAGGGCTTGTGTCAAGGGAGTCATGCTGGGTCATACTCGGACCCCTAGGTATACTCTTTATATGGCCCTTACATGCCCTTAGAGGGTCTTTATAAAAAGGATCCCCAAACCTAAAGGTATGAACCTTAGGGCCCCAAGGTAAAAACCCCATGATTGTGAGGGTTTAGGGTTTAGGTTTAGGGTTTAGGGTTTAGGGTTTAGGGTTTAGGGTTCAGGGTTTAGGGCCCCACCTCTCAAGGACTGAAGGAGAGGCCCGGAATCATGAGTTCAACTCGTCTCTAATGTCTGAAGTTCAGAGTTTAGGGTCTAAACCCTCAACCCTAGACCCTTAAATGGACTCTGAATCCTTAATCCTTCTGCTGCAGCTTTCTTTTTCTCCTAAATGCATCTAAATCCCGAACTTAGGGTTTAGGGTTTAGGGCTAGCCAAGCCACCAAACTGAGTCGAACTGGATGTTGTCTGCATGAGGCGGGTGCCCCATATGGTTCGTGTTGCCTCGGTAGGACCAGTTCGTCTACTCCAGGCAGGTTAGTTCAGGGTTTAGGTTATGGCTTACGGTTGGGTTTAGGGCTTGGGGTGCGTCTTTTTTGGGCCCCGGCCCCCTTGCATGCGCGTTGAGGCTGAGCCCTGAAACACAAGCATCCCCACCAACCAATATTGAAACCCCCGACCCTACCCCTGTCGCAAGATACTCAACCCTAAACCTTAAGCCCTAAACCCCAAACCCTGAACCCTTAACCCTAAACCCTTACTGGGGGGGGGACCCAAAACATGAACCCTCGACTGCAAGCCAAAGACAGAAACTCAGGTTTAGGGTTTAGGGTTTCGGGTTCAGCGCCGTCTTCTTTAGCAAGTCTCAACAACAGGCTTCGGCCTGTGGTACAGTGTGTGGGTTCCTCCTCCTCCCCCCTTTTAAACACTGAGCCCCTAACCCTAAGCCCCCAAGACCAAACAGTCGTTTGCTGGGGATAGCTTTCGGATCTTCATGGCGAAAATGGTGGCATTCCCAAGAGAGGGGTCCCTCATGTACCCTAGATACGAAAACTCCTTACAATCGGAACCCTCAAAGAAACCTCATGACAGTTTTGGTTTTGGGGTGTTCCCCTTTATACTAACAGCCCTCAGTAGTTATTCTAGTACCCCCTATTATAATCCCTAAATCCTAAACCCTAAACCCTAAACCCTATTCAGGAATGTTCGTATAAGGGGGAACATCCCAAGTTTTGTTGGTTGAGCAGAGCGGCTGATGGTGGCTTGGTCGAGGACCATGGGTACTTTGTACTCAGCCACCTCGGAGGGAGGGATAGGGTTTAGGGTTTAGGGTTTAGGGTTTAGGGTTTGGAGTTTAGGGTTTAGGGTTTAGGGTTTAGGGTCTAGTGTCTAGAGTCTAGGGTTTAGGGCAAAAGTTTAGGGGCCCAACAAAAGTCCCCTAGCCTGCGCAAATGGATGTTGCTTCAAGACAGAGGAATTGAAGATAGAGTCTGGACCCAATGTGAACGTGGGGGAGCTGCAGCATCATTTAGACAGGGGGTAGTTATAAGTAGGGTGTCATGTACATTGATTAAGATTACAATTTTTATTCCCTTACATATATGCCCACTTATAACTACTAACTACCCATGAAACTTCAAGTGCAGGGTCTTCTGCCTCTGCTGGGTCCGGGAACATGGAACCCACAAAGAAATACCAAGGCCTCCGGCTCTACCTTGACTCAGGAAAAGTCTTAACTTCTGCGGAGGTCATTGAAGGACATGGAAATTGAAGGTGTAATCGTCCCTAAACCCGAAACCCTAAACCCTCAGCCCAAAAGCCGGGCCACACCGGCGTCTGCTCAACCGGGAGGACAGCAACAGGCAACGCCCGCAAAACCCAAAAGCCGACTTTGAGACCTACTGTAGGGGCCTAAATAATTAGAACAGGCCTTACGGTTTAGGGCTTTGGAGGTTATTGTAGTATAAATATAAAGGGACTGTAAGGGAACATTCTGAGTAATCATTCCGACCCGTACATTAGTAAGCTTTGTATAAAAGTAAAAGGACAGCTACAGCTGGGTACTGGCAGGTTTCGGGTTTAGGGTTTAGGGTGTAGAGTCTACGGTTTAGGGTTTAGGGATACTGGAAGGTTCATGGGTAGCTATAAGTAGGGTTAGACGTCAGGTAACCCATACTGCACTTGAAACCCTGCTTGAATTTACCCACGAACCTTCACGTAGCTACGGCTCATGCGATATAAGCTTCTTATAAGTTATAAACAGTATGGGGTTTGCACTAGGGTTGAGGGTTTATTTAGAGTTTAGGGCAAAACTCCAGCAAGAAGAAACTACCCACCAAAGCCCTACGACCACAATCAGATGCAGCGGCCATCTTGTTGACGACCTTGCAAGCAATGCTGTAAAAGTCGTCAAAGTCCCGATCCGCAAACCTCGTGTGCAGAATCTGTACCAAAAACAACCCTAACGCCCTAAACCCTAAACCCTGAACCCTGAACCCTAAACCCTAAAACCCTAAACCCTGGTAAAGGAGGGGGGTGCCTGGACCCTTATGAACCTAAAAGCTGACTCATGCCAGCCCTGGCATGAAGCAGTTTCCAGGTATCAGGACCCGAAAGCCTCAACCCTAAACCCTAAGCCCTAAACCCTAAACCCTATTCAGGAATTAAAGGTCTACCTTTGGGATTACAAGGGGATTACATTACCCCAAGAAGTTTAAAGGTTACCTACTCTACTACTAGGGACCCTAAGCCCTGAATAAGGGAACCTGGCCCCTGTCTGGGTGCCGTTCAAAGCAAAGGAACTCAGAAGCGGTTTAGGGTTTAGGGTTTAGGGCTTAGGGTTTAGGGTTTAGGGTTTAGGGTTTAGAGAGCTGACCTTGACGCACCCCAGGCCTTGCCTACTAGCAAAGCAGCCGAACTACCCAAAACAGGAGCTAGCTGCAACGGTATATTATATATCTATACAGAAAAAATATAAATATATATATATATATACCCCTCAACAAGGCAAGGCACTCTCCCTTCTTAAGCGATAGTACTGGCTGCACATCTAAGCCCTGAATGCTAAATAATCCTAAGCCCTAAACCCTAGACCCTGAACCCTGAACCCTGAACCCTAAACCCTAAACCCTAAACCCTGAACCCTGAACCCTGAACCCTAAGCCCTAAACCCTGAACCCTGAACCCTGAACCCTAAATCTGTAACCCTAACCCTAGACCCTAGACCCTAAACCCTAAACCCCACCCTAGACCCCACCCTAAACCACCCTGAACCCTACCTTTCGCCGAAAAGCTGGGGCTTCTTCTCGAAGCGTGGGTACGTCAGGTCATCCTGGTACCGCCTCAGTGCTCCGAACCCCGTTAACCCCCGAGGTCCTGAAAGTTGGCTGGGCTTACTTTTTAACCTTATGCACCCATAAACCCTAAACCCTAAACCTTAAACCCTAAACCTGAACTTCCTCAACTCTGAACTAGTTCATGGTTGGGAACTTAAAAATTTGTTTGTTGATTCCTTATTGGGTTTAAGTACCCTTACCAATGCAAATTGTTACCCAACTATGACAAAGGTTGAGTCTAGGGGCCCTAGACCCTAAACCCTAAACCCTAAAGCTGTACGCCAGGTTTGCCACGGCTCAGAGTAAAAACGCGCGTGGCAAGCTGAACCAAGCAGGGTTTAGGGTTTAGGCTTCAGGGTTTAGGGTCTAGGGTCTAGGGTTTAGAGTTAAGGGTTGAGGTAACTGCAGCAAAGTACGAAAGGTCACTGCCTGCATCCTGGCACGCAGGACTGAGCTATGCTTGCAGCTGTAATTTCGTATATGTATGATTATGTACACATGAAGGATCTAATGCCATAGGGTAAGGCCTGGGGGATACGGCCAGCGGTAAAGAGAATGAGGCCGACCGTAAAGGAGAATAAGGCCAAAGGCCAACGGCAAAGAGAGTAGAGCAACCGCAAGGAGAATAAGGCCAGCGGCCAAGAGAATATGGGTTTAGGGTTCAATTCGGGTTGGAAAAAAAGGTCAATCGGAAACCTTCTGCACGAGAACTACTTGAAGGTTCATGGGCAACAAGTAGGGTTATACGTCAGGCAACCTGAAAAACATCAAACATTACAGAAAAAGCAATTCAGGCGCTTTAAACCCTATACTTCTAGCTACCCATGAGCCTTCAAGCAAGGCCACTTCCCTGGAGGAGGCCTTCCTTTCAGGGCCTCCTTCAGGGACCTTTTGGGGCATCCTTTCAGGGCCCGCTTTGGGGCCGCGCCTCTGTTTCAGGCTTCCTAGGCCCTACGAGGCCCTGAAGAGCTTTAAGGATCCCTTAGGGGCCTCCTCTAGGGGCTCCCATGGGTGCAAAGTGGCGCAGGGGTTCAGGGTGCAGGGTTTAGGGGATGTTCTGCTGACCTTGTCAGTGGCCATACCCAGAAAGTCCGCGCCCCCCCCCCCCCCCCCCCACAAAAAACGGCTTAGGGCTTGCGCGCAATCTCCCCCCCCCCCCTGTAAGCAGCTAGCCGGATGATGTACCTTACTTCATTCTCGCGCAGCTTGCACCCCCCCAAAACCCCAAACCCAGGCTTGCTTGGGGCCCTAGCTCAAGGTCGGGCCCCTAAACCCTAACTCTACACCCTATACCATACTGCAGTCCCAAGACCCTCAGAAGCCCCTAGCCATGAACCGTGGGGTTAGGGGAGTCGGGCCTAAAACCCTAAAAGGCAAAGGGGAGGGAAGGGCTAATAGGGTTTAGGCTTTAGGGTTTAAGGGTTCTGCATCTGAGGAAGCAATACAAACACCCGTGAGGCCAAACACACACCAATCGGCAAAACCACCTCAGAAGTCTTTACGGGCCCGGGGTGGGGGGGTCGGTAAGGCTTCTTTTGCCAGCTGCACAGCTGGAAGAACCACTCAGCAGGGTTTAGGGTTTAGGGCTTATAGGGTTAGGGTTTATAGGGTTAGGGTTTATAGGGTTTATAGGGTTTATAGGGTTTATAGGGTTTATAGGGTTTATAGGGTTTATAGGGTTTATAGGGTTTATAGGGTTTATAGGGTTTATAGGGTTTAGGTTTTAGGGCTTAGGGGTTCTTTCCACAGGCTGATACCCTTACGCTTTGTTCGGATGGCCGGCTTCCTTATGACAAGCTTCGCTTTCTGCAGGCGCCCTCATAGCTCTCAGTGGGTTTTTGGTTTGGGATTTAGGGTTTAGGGTTTAGGGTTTAGGGTTTAGGGTTTAGGGTTTAGGGTTTAGGGTTTAGGGTTTAGGGTTTAGGGTTTAGGGCTTAGCGTTCTGGATGCTCCATGAACCCCAACCCTGCAGCATATCTTCGAGCACCCAGAAACAAGTCAGCCAAGTCGCTTCCAAATCCTCTTGAGCCGCTTGATGTCTTCCTCCCCGAGACGCGAAGGAGGCTCTCTTGCTTACACGTTCTGACCTCAAAAACCTAAACCCCAAACCCTAAACCCTAAACCCTGAACCCTTTTCCTCCTGCAGAAAAGAGAGCCCCATAGGGGATGCCTGGACAACTTAAGCCTGGGATTGCTAGGAGGCCGTACGTCTGCCATAAACCCCTACCAGTAAAGCCCGAAAGCCCTACAGCCCCAAAGCCCTAAACCCTTTTGCATCCAGACTTGAGTGAGCGTGCTGGGAAAGAGCTCATGCTGCCAAGGCTGGCTGCGAACCCAGCGCAGACAAGCACAACATGTAAGGCAGACTGTGACGCACGTGCTGTGCCGGGACGGAACCCTAAACCCCTATGCCCCCCAACCCTTTTCCACCCTAAACCCTAAACCCTAAACCCTAAACCCTAAACCCTAAACCCTAAACCCTAAACCCTAAACTAACCCCTAAACCCTAAACCCTAAACCCTAAACCCTAAACCCTAAACCCTAAACCCTAAACCCTAAACTCCATTTTTTTCATCGCAAGGTCCTTGTCCAGCGCATGAAGCTCGGCGCGGTGGTGCGGCCCACAGCGAACGAAGCTCTGCAGGTGGGGACAGTGCTCGAAGTCGCCTTCGGGTTTCGGGTTTAGGGTTTAGGGTTTAGGGTTTGGGGTTTGGGGATTCGGGTTTAGGGTTTAGGGTTTAGGGTCTTCGGAATGTGGTGGCGTTAAGGGCTTAGGGTTTAGACGTTTGGGTTCCAGGGCTTAGAGATTCTCAACTGTTGGTAGAGCCCCTTGCACTTCTCACGGTTCTGTGTCATTCGAACAAGCTGAGTTAAAACGTATCCAAGTATTGGGGCGGGGGGGGGGGGGGGGGGGGGGGTTGGGTACCTAAACCCGAAGCCCGAAACACTAAGCCCTAAACCCGTAGGTGTAGAGGGACTCGAGCGACATTGCTGCAGAGCGATCACAGACTGGTTTATAGGTTTTGGGGGTTCGAGGTTTGTGTTTAGGGTTTAGGGTTTAGAGTATAGGGTGTAGGGTTTAGGGTGTGGGGGATTGGGTGCTCTACTAAACCCTGAATCTTCTTTGAGTTTTGTAGCGAGCTAACTTCCTTCAAGCAACTAGCCTACACACACACACACACACCCACCCACACCCACCCACCCACCCACCCACCCACCCATGCACGCACGCACGCACGCACGCACGCACGCACGCACGCACGCACGCACGCACGCACGCACAGCGTTGCCCCTTGTGGTAAATAAGACTGTAAGGACACTGTATGATGATTGGGGCCAGTATGAATAGAAGAGGGGTTGAACCTGAACCCTAAACCCTAAACCCCAAACCCTAAACCCTAAACCCCAAACCCGAAACCCGAAACCCCAAACCCGAAACCCTAAACCCTAACCCTAAGCCCTACAATTGCCAACTTCTTCCTGCAGGCAGAGAGCTCTGGATGGGCACCTTGCCATTGGCCGTGCAAGGAACCTCCCGAGGTGTTTAGGGTTTAGGGTTTAGGGTTTGGGGTTTAGGGTTTGGGGTTTAGGGTGTAGGGTTTGGGGTTTAGGGTTTAGGGTTTGGGGTTTAGGGTTTGGGGTTTAGGGTTTGGGGTTTGGGGTTTAGGGTTTAGGGCTACTTGCTGGTTCTTAGCAAGCAATGAAGGAACTAGGTACCCTACGTAGAACCCCTTAGAAAGGCTATATAGAAGGATATACGGATATACGTGCCAAGAATTCCGTACCAATCATTCCCTCAGTCCCTGCCAACCTCCAGCATACTTTGTTTGCCACCTGTCGTTTAGGTCTTAGGTTTTCAAGGTTTAGGGTTTAGGGTTTAGGGTTTAGGGTTTAGGGTTTAGGGTTAGCTTCACAGCCGTGCTGAAAATAGAACCCGGACACTGCTTCGACCCCAAGGAAGATGATTTGCGTTGTTCGTGCGCATATAGTGCGCGTGCCTGGATCACAATCATTGCAACTCCTCCTTGCCGGGATTCAATTTACAGATTCGCTCTAACAAACGAAACCCTGAAACGCTGAAACGCTGAAACCCTGAAACCCCGAAACCCTGAAACCCTGAAACCCTGAAACCCTGAAACCGTGAAACCGTGAAACCCTGAAACCCTGAAACCCTGAAACCCTGAAAGCCTGAAACCCTGAAACCCTAAACCCTGAAACCCTGAAACCCTGAAACCCTGCAACCCTAAACCCTAAACCCTAAACCTTAAGCCCTAAACCCTAAACCCTAAACCCTAAACTCCCTAAACCCTAAACCCTAAACCCTAAACCCTAAACCCTAAACCCTAAACCCCAACCCCATCCACGCCTTGGCCTTGCTTGCCGCGCTTGGCACCGAACCTCGGGCAAGGATCTTTCGCTGGGCCTTTAGACTAAGGCCTACAAGGAGGGGCCCCCTTACTATACAGTTACTATGCGAACTATATAGTTAAGGAACTTATAACTTAATTTAGGAACCTTATAACCCAATTTAGGGCCCTTATATCTCTACTTATAACTTGGGGGGGCCCCTCCTTGTAGGGCTAAGCTCTACCTAAAGTCATGGGGGGCTGTAAGTAGGGGGCGCACGGTTGAAGGTTTAGGCTTTCGGCTTTAGGGTTTAGGGCCTTAAGTCAGGCACCTCGAACACCCCTAGGTTTAGGGTTTAGGGTTTAGGGTTTAGGGTTTAGGGTTTAGGGTTTAGCCCTACCTACTATCGGTTCTCATCCTTCACCCCGAACACGTACAAAGAAAGGAGGCTTAGGGCTCTTCAGGTACAGCATAATGTCGTATCCTGATTAGTCTGGACCCCTCCAATAATGAAAAGTTTTCCAAAAATTATTCAGGAGACAAAAATTCGATTGCCCCCCCCCACAATAAAGTAAAGTTTTTCGGGGATGGGAACACCTAAGTTTACCTGAGCTCTTACCTTTAGCTTTAATTACTGAGCTTACCTGAGCTTTCCTGAGCTTACCTGAGCTGAGCTCATCTGAGCTTACCTGAGCTTAATTACCTAAGAGGAGAGGGAGAGGAAGAGGAGAGGGAAGAGGAGCGAAGAGGAAATGAAGAGGAGCCGGTGGGGGGCGCCCGGGGCCGAAAATTAGTTTGGGGGGGTTCCTTTTTTTGGTGACACTATTGCGGGGGTGGATTTAGTTTGGGGGGGGGGGGGGGGGGCCCACACTAATCAGGATACCACATTATACGGTTTAGGCTTTAGGGTTTAGAGTTTGGGGTCTATACACCCTTGGCTTAAAAGAAAACTCCAAAGCAGTTCGGGGCTTAGAGTTTTATCAGGTCCAGATTCCATATGCCGTCTTCATCGGGATTCTACCGCTGTAAAGGGTTATAACCTAAACCCAAACACGGCAAAGGGTTGGCCCGAGACCCTAAACCCTAAA